GGTCGTGACATTACGTCAACCCTCAAGAAGCTTGTTCCTAATATTTAATTGAGGCCAACAGAAGTAAAATAGGATTGCCATAAGATTCATTTATTTTGTTGACAAGTAAAAGCATCTCATTACTGCAAAGAAAGTCAAGTTTTGCAACAAAAATAACTTGCGACAAGAAACATAGTCTATACAAAAACATGGTAATATTTACAACAATGAATAGCAAAAACAACCTCAAGGTGAATGCACCAATGAAGAAGAGCCCGGAGGAAGAACTTACCTATCCAATCCATTGCATATGCTTTAAAACCATTCTCATTGAGTTTCTTTGCAAAGTGATCATATCTACCACTGCAAAATCAATAACAACAGCACTTTTAAATAATCATCTCTACCACAGTTGATGCACAAATGCACTTACGCACAAAGATCATAAATAACAAGACAAAGAGTACAACTTAAAGGATTTTGAATTATCACAATACCTGTGCTCATTCAATCCATGCAACAGAACAACCACACCCCTGCATAACAATTCATAGTTAATATTTGAAAACAAGAAGTGGTTATCTATCTTTTGGTTAAATTATAGAAATTAACTGAGAACGCTTTTTTACATTAAAATCACAGAAATATGAGTCTAATATATCACCTAGCTAAATTAAACATGAGGCTCCAACAGGCTCTTTATGTCAAGGGCAACATTAAACAGGCCAACTTGAATAGCTCGTACTCTTAAAAAGAAGAATATGCTCAAAAGCGAGGTAACACATTGAAGTCATATGGAACTGGTGTTGTTAAAATTAGAGTAATTGCAAAAGCCATTGAACCCTCCAGTACCTCTCCTGCTCTATATTAACAAAGCTCTTTGAAACGATTAACATATTGCAGCTAGAAAAGCACCAAACTGATCCATTTGTAGGAATTCAAACGAGACAACATGGAAGAACTTAAGATACAATTTCAACATGCAAATGTTGCTTATTTGATTTGAAATAGACTTTTGCCTCAAACCAAACAAGAATAAAACAAAAAAACCTTGACCATCAAGCATTCAAAGTAAGATGGGTTTTATATATCCATAAAAGTGTATGCACTTCTTTGTTTTCAGGAGACATCCTACTGATTAAGGCACACTATGTGCAGTCATGATGTTGTGGCTTATAAGCATCTAATGGGAAGATATGAAGATATGTAATCTTCTTGGCACTGATAGCTAGACATAGAGCATGGGTAGAGAAGCATCACTAAACTGTGTATGTACATTAGCAGCTAGAGAAGCATCTATTATAAAACAATCCTAGTTGGGTGGAATTCCAATCAGATCAATGGTTTTTCATCCATGAAAATAAAAATAACTGCAAGGTGAAGCAAGGAGCGTGAATCACAAGAATCAACAACGAAATGCAAGAAATAAAGATGTTCCCGATGTTACTGCCTATCTTCACAGCACATGATCAAGACTTGTGACCCGAGATTGTCAATCCAACGACATGAGATTTTTTTTTTGGGGAAAGAAAAATTAGAGAAATGTTGCAAGCTCATTAAAATCAAGAAGCAACCTCCAAAATTAACCCAGACATGAACAAGAATATACAAGAAATGGCATAGATGCCCAATATCCGAACACGACGACCAAGATTACCTAAATTTTCTACGACATATGAAATCCACATAAAGGAAAAGAAACAGAAAAGCTAAATTAGAAAAGAACAAGATTTATCCTCCAGAACATGTGGACTTTGAGAACTCACGCCCTACCTCGTCTCCCTGTTTACAGGCGTCCAGGACTGAGTGAAGAGAGTGTCGCCTCTAGTCGTCGTGAACATGGAGAAGTCCCTCCCCCGTTGCCCCTCCTTCCTCGCCTCCACCACCAGCCGCATCGCCAGCGCCCGCCTGCCGGCCGCCTCCGGTTCCCGCTGCCTTCGCGGCACCATCGCGGCCGGCACCCTCACCACCATCCCGCTGTGCCCGCCCTTCCTGCTGCTGGACTCCGGGCGCCCGTCAGCGGGGGTCGGGGCCGACCGCTCCGCCGCCGGCACGAACCTCGGCCGCCATCGGAAGGGGAGGAGGAGGAGGGCGGCGGCCCGGAGGAGGAGAACGAGCCCCCGGAGGACGCGGAGTGAGAAAAGGGCCGTGACGCGGCCGCTCGCACCCGATGTCAGCATCAGCGCCTCGTAGAAATCAACAACAAGAAGCGTAGGGGATGACAAAGGGGGTGGGGTGGAAAAATCGAAGCTTTTATCCCCCAGAAGATTCCAATTCTTTTATTTCTTGATCGGAGAGACGAACCGAGAGTTGCTGGTCTCTAATCTGTAGGGGTTCAAACAACACCAAAAGGAAACGACCGACCGAGGGATGCGGAGAAGGCGTCGGCTGATGCTTCGCCTTCGGGTCGCGCTTTTAACGCCGGCGCCGAAGCCAAAGGAACGCCGTGGAGGAAAACCGCCGGTTCGACGTGTGCACGTGCATTATGAAATGTAGGCCACAGAAAGCGAGAGGTCGAACGGGCCCCACAGGACGGGAAGTGAAAGGTATCCGAGTAGGTACCTTTTCGAGGAGTATATGTTGGCGCCGCAGAATTTTTGGGCTCCGGAAAGGGCGTTGCTTTTGTTTGATTGGAACGTAGAGCCGGTGGCGGTTAGTGGACCACGTGTCTAGTAGAGGTCGTGTTCGCCTGACACGTGGCTTAATGCGGCGTATGGGCGCCGGGAATTTCCTGTCATCCGGTAGGTCGGTGTGTTCTGTCGAGAAATCTTGAAGTAACGGCTGTGATAAACCATATAAAACAGTATATATCGAATCATTTTTATTGAACATGCCAATATAACAGTGAATACCGTAACGGTTATAAACATGTAACCTCTTTGTCTCGACGAATCCTTCGACCACCGATAACCAATTAATTTTGGGGATACAAATATAATAGTTTATTATAAGCATAATTTTTTAGTCAAATTATTGAATTTATTAGATAAGAGACCAAACTTGTTATAAGTCATACACCATTCCTTTGGCCAGAGGTTATATTCCCTTGGTTGGCATTTATGGTGTTTCTTCACAAGTCGCCCTTCAAGGATAGATACACACATTCTAATTTTGCCTCCAAGCTCTTTATGTTTTTTACATGATTTGAATGGAGGTGTTGCTTCGAAGTTTTAAGCTTTCAAGGCAAGGGAGAAGAGAAGGCAAAGCTGTGGTATACGGACAACAAATTATCTCAACGGACCTTACCGGTCTATGTTTATATTAAGCAACCGTGGTTTGATATATCCTTTTATGCTTCTTTGTTTCCAAAAGCATCGTCTCGTAGCCATTGTTTTTGCACTTGTTGCGTTGTTCTGTCAGACATGCACATGAAACACAAGCTGCATCTGATGTGCACTTAACATCATACCTCCATGGGAGAATGTGTTAGACGGATATTGTCCTAGAGCATGTGACATGGGAGTGTGATTTTGGTAGTCAATCTAGTATAACATTTAGAAGGAACCAAAATAATGGAGGCACTAAATCTTGTCAAATATATAAACAAAACTGGAACAAGTCTATTACATGCGGATTATGAGCCTAAGTTCCCTCGACGACAACCAAAAGGCACAGATATTGATCTCGAGGGACGAGAATTCATAAAGTCAATCTGCCAATTGTTGAGAGAGGAATTGAATTCCTCGTGGTGCAGCAGTCTGGAAACGATAACAGGCACAAGATCTATAAGAAGTGCTGCTGCTGCTCGTGAATAGCATTAGTTAAATCCAAATCAAAGGCATCAACTATTGCCCAACTATGTTTAAAGAGCAATAATCAGTCAAACAAGCCCTGAAAGCACTCAATTCACTACTGATTTCTGGTAGAATATTTACTCTCCTGAGGCATCATGGCATCAAAGTCCAGATTGTACTAACAAGAATCCTACTAAGTTTAAGATGCCATCATTTGCTATAAGTCAGTAGTGCAAGTTTAACAGTTGAATATAAAACAAAAAGTCCCAAAAACACTACAAAACTTAAAAGAAAGGTTTGATCAATTCTTAACATGCAAAAAAGGATAAGAGGTGATTTAGTGATTCCTGTGCCGCTCTTTACATTTGCTCCAAAAATACCTTTGCAATTTCCTGACCATCTGGCTGGTGCTCAAAAAGAGCTTTTTTTCTCACCCTCTTCTGTCTCTATTCGTTCATTGACTTGGCAACATTTTCTGTGAGCTTGTTCACAAACTTCTTGGCAACGGCTTGTTGTTCTTCATCAGGGGCAGCATTACCAGCGCTCAAGCATCCATTGTTTTCCAGCTTAGGCCCAGTCAAATCTGTAATACTATTTGGAGAGGTCTTCGGAGAGATCTTTGGAGAAGCATCATTGTTACAACTTGGTTTCTCCACCCCATTGCTCTCAGGTGATGCAAATGTATGTGGAGTATAGCTAGCTGCAACCGAGATTGGAGCCACTGAAAATTGTTGAGATGGAGGCAAATGAACAGATCCAGGGGGAAGGAACACTCCAGTGCCAGGAACAGGGACTTGAGGAGCTGTGTGCCTAGGAGGAGCTGCCACCGTCCATCCAGCCGTTGTAGGTGCCATCATAGTAGGTGTAGGGTAAGGCACAGCTGCAGAAGCTACCACAGGAGGTGTCACAAACACCGGTTGGGCTCCATTTGGAGGTGGCATGTTTTGAGAATGGAATGGCAGCGCTTGTAGGACTCCAGTAGTGGGGATGTCTCCATAGTACTTACGACCTGATGGATGACGGTAGAAATTTGGTGACCTAACTGATGATAGGCCTGAGGCAGGATGTACAGTTGGTAGAGTATTCTTTGGTCGGGATTTTCCAAATGTTAAAAGGAATCGCTGCTTGCGGAGGGCAGGGATAGCACGTTTGGCTAGATCTGCACTTTTCCCTTGCATCACGAGAAGAGCCCTGGAATGCCAATAAATATAAAACAGAAAAAGGTTATGACATATCAAAGAAGTGTTTTATTGTATCATAATTCAACCACAACAATCCTACCTGCAATTATGACCTGTTTTGGCCTTTTCAGAAATGTGTTCTAGTTCTATGATATTTATTTTTTCTTTTGAGTAATGGAGATGAGATGTTTGCAAAAAAAATCTTTTTTAGTAAAAGTAAGCAGCAAATGAAAAAGATTTAAGTAACTTTACTGGTATAGAATGAAATTTGATTTGAGAATAATATAGGAATATCAAAACAATAATATCCGTCTGGTATTCAATATGGTATACCAAGATCAATTGTATCGATTATTTCTTAAAGTGATCTAGAACATAGCTTCATGCATGATCGCTTTTTACACCATTCAATGAGTAAAATGAATAAAAAAGATATATCCAAATCATGTGAATATTAGTTTTTAGATAATGTTTAATGGGGCAAATCTTCAAAGCCTCGATGATGATTTGATATGATAGGATTGATATCTCAGTCTCCTGATAGGATATGGCTCAGCTCAACATTGATTTTTAGCATTATTAGTTGCTTCCAACTTATAAATAGTTAAAATGCAATAGCAATAGATGTTCTCTTTTGTAAACCTAGAAATATAATTTAATGAAGTCAATAAGACAATCACACGGCTTCTTTGCAGTTTAAGGATTTGGTGTATGAAAAGAACCTTTATGCTATTTCAAAGTGTCATATGACTGCTAAGATTGCAATTTAGTTTCAAGGTGAGTTATCGTTAAGGGACATTAAATATCAGTTTATAATGATCAAGAGTTGTCTAGGGGAGGAATCGTTCAATTATCAGTTCTGAGCAGAAATGAAGATTTCCACTCTTTTAAGGTTCTTTGTAGTTTTCAAGACATGACAACTTTTGAAAGTCAGATCCAGTAGTTGATGATAGTCGAAAGAGGATGGTAATTGGTAGTTTATGAGGTGTTTGTGTCTCATATGGAGAATTGTTTAAAGAAGATATTCTGTAAAGTGAAGAAACACAACTCAAAGGTTGCACTTATTAATAACCAGGTTACCAGCTTGCCTCGTAAGTTATACCCAGTTCTGGTTCTATCATGAGTGCTCATTGTTGAGTCATCAAGTTTGAATTTGTCGTGTTCATTGTCAAATAAATTGAGTTATGAACTCACTAACAGTGGATTGCATAGGACTAAATATAATATCATTTTCAAAAATTTCAAGAGACTACTAGAATAGACAAAAATTTCCTGCTAATAGTGAAATGTTTCAATCATTCGTAACTACTGTTCCAACTCATTGATACCAAAGTACTAAAGATTGACTCTCCTTTTTTGATATTTTATGTAAACTGATTCAGTATTTTTTTTTATTTTAATTCTCAACAGACTTTACACACCTAAACAGGAGAAACAATGAAATAGTTGATTAATCAAAAGCAAATAAAAAAAAACAAACTAAATCACCTACTAATCATTTCTCAGATTGAAACTTGAAGAAACAAGTACAATGAGAATTCTGGTGAAAGAAACCATACCCTGCAGTGAGCGAGAGCTTCAGAGAACCATTGTAGTCTCCCCTGTGATCTGATTCTACTGCTCGGCCATATACGATATCGCACTCGGTCAATAATAAGTTACAGACAGGCCTTCCATACCAAGGAGGCCAAGTTCGAGGTTGTGAATGGTCCCCCTTTACAGAAGCACCCCATGTTAGCTCGCATTTAAACAAGTTTCCAGAGCATCACAAATGTATAAAATTTCCTCACCTCATTAAAGAAGTCAATAATGCAATAATCAGGTTTAACTGGCAAAACTTGTAGCTGAACCAAGTTATCAAACACATCCTGTAGTAAGCTAGGAATGGCCTCAACCCTTCTTTCTGAAAGTTTTGCATTCAACATAAAGAGGATTTTATATTTCATCTAAAGGAAAACAATACAATTTTTTTGTCATCAAGGCAGACTTTACCTCCAGAGGTCACAGTTGTGTTTTCATCTTCTGCAGGTCCCTCACTAATGGGAATGCCAAACTGAAGCATTTCCCTTCCATGCCCCCTCATTGGCCTTTTCAGTATTGCAAGTGTTTGTCCTGCTTTTCATTTTTGCAAGTGTAAAATGTAGCAGCTAACAAAATCTGGAATTATTTCAAAAAACTACTTGAAGCATTAAAAAATTTCAGGTTTTTTGGGAAAAAAATCTTTAACAAGGTATGAGTATTTGTATTATACTTCCTTATCGAGAAAAGATTGTCATGTTTGTCACCACAATGGACAACTACCTAAAAATCTAAAATTTGTAATATAATTCAGACAACAAAAGAATTGTCTACTATGAAATGGAAAAAAATTGGTCCTCATACTATGGGAGATAGTTCCGCTGGCTAACAAATCCAAGGAAACCCCAACAAACATGTTCCATATGCCCTTTTCTACAAAATGTCCAGTAGGCATCTTTCCAATTCCTGTTGCAAAAAATATCTAAATACTGTCTGAAAACCATAGATCTGTTAATCTATTATGAATATACAATGTCAAGAGCAAGCTTCTCTAAATTGATCTCTAGGCCTTTATGTCTGATGATTGTCAATCCATAACATTTGATTGTAAAATTTGTGTTAGACAATCTTTAATGCGTTAAATGAGACAATATTGCAGCAATAAATAAAGTAGGCACCATGTTTTTCAAATCCATCATTTAAGCATGATGAGCAGAAACCAATGATATCAGCTTATATCCTTCAAATGCAAATTTAGTTAAATATATATATGCTCATAGTATAGCATTGTTTTGATTCTTAGTAAAAAAGGCAGGAAAAATAAGTGTAGCATCCTTCAAAATTTGTATTGCAAGACAAGTTTCATAGGATTAGTTCACACTCTCGCAAAAGATCATATAGAAATCATTCCCTTTAGTCCTAAGATTATATTATTATCCAGGAAAGAAAAGCTCTGATCAGTTATATGCTATTATTTTAAGAACTTGATTATTATATAAAAGCATACATTTGTAAATAAATCCCAAATCAAGATATTAAAATTATAGTGTAAATACATCCGAGAAGATTATTGTCTCATCCTTCAAGACATAAGGAAACAGGTAATTGGTTAGCTTGCCTGGGAGTTCTCCTCTATGACCAGCAGCTCTCATTTCATTGGCTAGTGAAACAAGTCTGGTGATCTCTGAGCTATCCAGCAAATCTTCATAAAGCTTCAGTCCTTCAACAACATTAACCTACAAGGTTTTGTTTTCTGGTTTAATTTCTTGGTTGAACCATAATGCTAAATGACATTTTTTTCATTTACATGAAGCTCTTGAACATTTCTTATTCATATATAAGATCATACCATCATGCCATCACTTATTTCTTTGGCCAAAAATTCCTTTGGCATTGAAATGGCTTTCTGATTTTCGTCTTGATTTGAAGTAATATCTGAATCACCATTGACAGAACCATTGCAAGTTCCTAAAAAAGTAAAATTCCAAAAAAATAATTCTATTTTAAATTCTCCATCTATTGAAAACTAAAACGATAACGACAATTTAAAGAAGGAAAAAAACACTGATGAACATGATGGTAATTGGCAAACAAATATAGACTAGAGAAAATTAGCACTAAAATACATGGAGTTCTTGATAAAAATCAGAGAGAGAATAATAAATTAAAATTCGTAATAATTTTGTCATTTTATTTTTGAATTATTTTTCAGTTGATTTCAATAGCTTAAATCCAGTTCAACCAATCTTGTTGATTGCGGTCATATCATCTCGTGCCGGTATTGACACCAACCTTATGATCTATGGCCGAAATAGAGGATCAAACCTCATTAATGTTATTCAAACTATAGATACGAATTGATTAAAGGCAAAGGAAATTCATAGCATTCCTACTCCCAGATTCTTTTAAAAAAATCACAAAATGACAATATAAATTTATTCTATAGCTTTTAAATCTTCAATGATCATTATTGTTGACCCAATTAGAAGCATAATTAATTAGCAGTACCAAAATATCTTGTCTTCTTCCAGAGATCTGGCTGCATAGTTGATCCTCCATGTCCTGCATTGACAGAGACCCATGCATTTCTACCGAACTATCTTACCTACTTGCAAGAGAAGCAAAGTGACCCAAAATGTACCATTGTCTGAACTAACAAATCAGCTAATCCTACAATGCCTAGCATAAAGCTAGGTGGCATACCCCTCACAACAACCCGAAATGTACCACATTCTAGGTAACTATAGTCCATCTATTGACAATAGATATAATTTTCATGCTGCTCTCTTCAGATGGAAGGCCTTCTGTATTCTGCTAATAACTCCATTGCTACCTTGGTTTATTTTTTGGATTCCTAAACTTCTTCTAGATCTTCAAAATCTCTTAACAATAAGTTATCAAACTTCTATACCCTTTACGTTTCTTCTTTGAGCTTCAAAAATCAGACCATATTTCTTCCATACACTTCACAAATCACAAGTTTGATGAAAACAATTTTGATTCGATTTATATGTCCTTCATCCTTGCATGATATACATCATGTGTGAACCTACAGGCTGTAATAAAGATGTGACAAAAGTTCACAATGTAAGCAAACAGAAGTTTTTGAAGAAGGGAAAGTTTGAACACTGTTTTCTCTATCAGATATTTGAAACAGTTTGACAAGGTAAGAAAGACAATTAAAGAGAAACATGTATCTTTTCTTCCAGCAGATTAGTATTGTCAACAGAAAAGAGATAAATAAGACAACTGTAGTCAAGGAAAAGGAGAGGCAAAATAAAAATGTAAGCAATAGAAGCATTAAAGAAGATCTCCAACCAAGAATACATCATTTTCGTAATCTACATGTCAATAAAGCATGTCTTCCTTAACCATACATCTAGCGATACATAAAGATCAAACAAAATCTAAGTAGACCATGACCAGGCTTTGTAAAAAGAAAAAGATAGTTGAACCTCTAAACAATCAAGACTTAGTTTAAGACTCAATTATATCCCACTTCAATATGAAAAAACAAATATCAATTTTAATCCTTCCAAATAGACTTTCATCCTTACATTAACCTGAAACCTTTGTGGGCTCATAAGACAAGCAAATCTGACAATAAAAACTGGGAAAAAGCAACCAAAACCCCTTCCAGACTAAGGTAAACCCTAATGAACTCAGCTTGCACCAAAATGTTTTCCCTATCTGCGATCAAATTCCCATGACTCTTCAATTAAGAATAAGGATTCAAGAACCAGGGCTTGATGAAAACTAACATGGAGGTCCCCATTGTTTGGTGGGTGAACCAATAGATCGGCATTATTTGCCCTTCAAATTCTCCCACTAGGGCCTTGAAATTTGCAGTAAGAAAAAAATTGAAAAATTTACCATTATTTTACCAATTAGATGCTCAGTATACACTATTTTCATGTTGTTTCTCCTTGCATGGCATATCATCAGCTTTTACCATTCTTGCAACATCTTGTTTCTTCACAATGGAATCCTCATGAGGCCAAACAATCTTCAACATTTACGATGTAGCAATAGTTTGTGTGCCACTTCTGAATCCTTCATTGTCTAAATCTTCTTCAGGATTTGAAATCGAATTAACATATTATACACAAGACCAATAGGCATCAATATGATTATGTTGATATGTTTATCTCCGCATTCCTTTTCTCAAATACATTTACTGTTTTATCCATCTACAAATTGCTTACTATTTTAAGGATTGTCATAACAAAAGGTTGCATGGATGACAAATAGAGGAGACTCAAGAAAATTCCATGTTAAAGAAAACAGAAATTTAATAGGAGGAATGGCAAAGAAAAGGGAGAAGAAAATGGAGAGAGGACATTAAACAAGAGAATAAAAGGTTGCATGGACAACAAATAAAGGAGACTCAAGAAAATTCCATGTTAACAAAAACAGACATTTAACAGGAGGAATGGCAAACAAAAGGGAGAAGAAAATGGAGAGAAAAAGGCATTAAACAAGAGAATAAAGGCTAATGATAAGAAAAAATCTAATCATTAATAAACCATTATCTACAATTAAATTGTTCTACTTAATCACCTTTCTATATACGAAGGCCAGGCAAAAATCAGTTTAACCTTAATTTTAAAAATCTTAAAAATCCAAAAGACAATCCAACCATGACTGTCCTACAACTCAGTTACATTCTATGTAGAACTCTAAAAATATGCATATCAGTGTCAACTATTTTTTTCTTGACAACTAATATTTAAAAACAACATTCAAACAATAAACAAATCACTCTATATAATACTGAGTATTGCTTAAGGACAAGGACATAAAACCCGAAATGAACCAAGAACATTCCCATGGTAAAAGAAATTGAACTAGTCTACATTAACATGCAATACAATAGTTTCCATGTCTTTAATTTTGTTGTCATTTTGCAAAATACCCATGCAAGTCCAACGAAGGAAGATTTGATGCCTTTTACTTTATCAAAATGCATGAAAACCAGAACATTAGAAAAAAGCATTAAAAAATTTTAAAAATTCTAGAGCCGTTCTAGTAAAGTCATCATCATTATCATGTCCTTGACTGCAGTTAAACAAAAATAAGCTATTACAGAATAGCAAAAGCATACCTCTACAATCTAAGGCTTGGCTATCTCCTACTATAGCAGGTTCTGACTCATCAGGGTTTGTCTCAACGGGGTTTCCTCCGTCCTTTAGGCTGCAATATGACTTCGAGCTGGGTACATCGCATATTCCTGAATGTATTTAATTGCATAATCTGAAACTATCAGAACATATCTTGGAATTATTAAAAATACAATCACAGTTGTACTTAACTCTGTTTATCTATGGAAACTTAATATTCTTATGTAATGTACGTCTTATTGAAGGACAGATAGCAAGGGGAAACATTGATATGCCCAGATTCGTTCTTACAAATTTAAAAAATGTAAAGTTCTTATCAATACTATGACATGGAAACCATGCGTTAATGAGATCAAAATTGGTAAATCATCTTATCCATTGTTGTTAAACTAATAATGTAACTTGGCAATGCATCCACAGAATATCCCATTTCAGTTATGCTATTGTTTATGACAAATGTAAGGTCTTTAATTTCCATAATATGTGGTACTGCCATAAATAAAATATATACTGTAGCGTCAGAGACTTGAGAAACAAAATCGACGCTTACCATCACTCTCAGCTTGAGTTGGTGAATCCTTCGCCTCTGATGTTTGGGCATCACTCTTTTGGGTCGGGTCCTTGTATGTTTCCGGCTTATCCTCCCTCCCATCCGCGATCCCACCGTCAGATGTAGCTGCACCAGGTGCAGGCGATCCATGGCTATCTCGAACTCCATTGGATCGATGTCCATACCTATGCCCAAATCCGGACTTTCTCCCGTCCTTCTCTTTTGGGCCATAGGAATGCCTCTGCAGGTTCTGCTGCCGCTGCCTCCATTCCACCTGCTGCAGTGCGTACATTGCGTCGGCCACCGGGAAGTACTGCTGCAGATGGAGGATGGGCGTCCAATGGAATCGCCGCTGGTGGATGCAGCCCGCAAGATGGTCGTACTCTCCGGGTTCCCCGACGACCCTGAGGTGATGGATCAGCAGATCGATGATCGCATTGGCCGCCGCGAATTCTCCCCTCAACCACGAGATAAATCCGTCCCTCTCATCAACATACCACTGCCGCGGCGCCTCCCCGGCACCACCGCCCATCGGGAACTGCATTGGCTCCGACTCCACCACCGCGTTACCAGACGCCGCCATCGCCACGGCCTCTAAATCAGATGCATAATCCCAGATCCAATTCCTATCACCTCAGAATCCCTTAAAGAATCGAACGAAGGAGGTCCCAAGTGACCCAAAAATCAAACACAAGCACCGATCCTCGGATCAGCCAGATCGGGACCAGATAATGCAGCTAAAAGAAACCAGATCTTGAGACGCAGTCCAGCGAACGAACGCGGAAAACAAGAGATCAGATTTAGATTTGCGAGTCGGCGACCATTGGAACGAGGGGAGAGGAGCAGGGTCGGAAAACAAAGATTCAAGGAATAATCTGTGTTCGGAGAAGAGATCTGGACGATGTGAGGAAGAGGGAGGCTATTAGGGTTTTGCGGGCGAAGGTGAAACAGAGGTGGCTTGTGGCGCACGCTTAGTTGCTTCTTCTCTCTCTCTCTCTCTTCGTGCTTCCCTCCGCGCTCCACTTATGGGAGAGGGGAAAGAGGACTCCGGATCCTGGAGGGAAGGTTCGTCTGGGTAGTCGGCTCACGCATTGGGCCACTAACCCAAAACCAAAATTAAAATTAAAATACTAAGATAAAATGTTACATTCGATTCCTAACGCTGAATCAATTCCCCTGATTTTTCTATTAATTCTTTCTACCAAGGAGTTAGACTCATGTCACCCCTGAAATGTTTCAGGAGCGACGGAGTCTCTCGAAAGTGGATCCGCCGATGCGAGGCGGTTTTCATGGGCGAGTTTAGTGGGACCCAAACAAACTGGTGAAATGTGATCCCGCCACTTGCCGGTCGCCCCGACCGCCCACCAATCAAAAGGGAACCGGGTGGGGGATCCTGACCGGGTTCACGTTTCGCAACGATTTCACGGTTCTTGATTTGCCGCACGTGGTGTGCTTGAACGGGTCAGGGTCAATGGTCCCCTGTTCTTCGGTGGGGTTGGTGATGCGCCCGCGGTTCCTTGGACCGGAGGGAGGAATGGTCGTGTTGCCTACTTGATGATCCAAGCACGATAAAAAGTTTGAAGACCCAGAAGCTTCTCGAGAACTGCCGGTTTCGTCGAAGGTAAATACGATCGAGGATGAGAATGCCTCGTGTAGCGCGGATGGTGGATGGGTCGGATGCTTAATTGGATGTCTCCTCATCTCCGATTCCAATCATGTAATTGGTAATTGTATATTGGCCATCGGATCCATCGACTGCGAAGCCACGAGTGGGGACGCTGCCGACGGGATCGTATCCTCCGTCCCTAACGACTATGTACGTGTGGTTGTCTCGCCTTTGGCTTGTGTGGACCAATCTGGTGAAAGAGTCGACGCCATTGAAAGAACGTTACTGTGCGAATGTCATCGGTCTGATAAAAACAAAATAAACAAGGCTAAATCAAAACATATAGGCCACATCAAATTGATCGCCATTGAAAGAACGTTACTGCGTGAATGTCATCGGCCTGATCAAAACAAAATAAACAAGGCTAAATCATGCTACTGCAAAACATATAGGCCGCATCCAATTGACCATGTTAAGTTTTAAGAACTGACATGGGAGGATGATACAAGTATCAATAGCTTCCTAATCTCATTTTACCAAATGACGATAATATATTTTTCTTATTAGATGATGTGGCAACTGACCCAGAGTCAATTACATAGCAAGATCACTCAATTAATCATTACTCTTATGTTTTTCAGGTTGGATGCTAAATTATCTCATTTATGTACGGAGGAAGCACATAATCATTCAATTGTAGTCTTCAATTCTATCGTTGTCTAACCCAATGCGATGTTAACACCCTAAAGACTTATCGAATCACTAGTCGAGGGAACACTTTGGTTCTCGATCATAGAATTTAATGAGCCACATTACTCTCAGTCTATTTCGCCTAGTTTCGATGTCTAATCAGTAGACTCGATAAAGAACTTCTTGCATGTTTAACTATAATAGATGAACCAATATTTGAAAAAGATATGACGAGAATTTCAACAATTAAATAAGGGAAGAATTGATCAACCTCATCTCGAGTTGATCATCATTCATCTAGAAATTCTAGGAAGAATTAATTTTAACGAGTTTTTATCTCCTGTTCTTGAAGGCATTCGATGAAAGTGTCGATCCGATGAAACACATTATAGCTTTTTATACTCAGATATCTTCATATGGCATCTCAGACACTATAATGTGTCATACCTTCCTAACCACATTAAGAGGTTCAGTACAGAAATAATACATTCATTTAAAGTCACTTTCTATCTTCTCTTTTGCTCAAATAATGAGGGAGTTCGAACTATACTTCATCGGGAATGTAAACTATCAACTCCCAGTGGCAACACTTCTTAGACTCAAGTACGAAGAGAAAGAGATGCTCGTAAACTTTATCACTAAATTCAAAAATGAGATTCCATATATAACAAATGTCCATCTATTACTTATTATATAAACATTCATGATGGGGATCAAGCCCCATTGTTTTTTTTGATCAGTTGATAGAGAGATCATCAATGGTGATTGTACCCAAGGTACTCCAAAAGTCCAATTAATACATTATCATCAAGATAATGGTTTTGAGTAAGCATGAAGAGCCACGCAAAAGGTCGAAGCAAGAGTAGCCATAATCAACCCCAATCCCGAGGTCACCTCAGAAATGAATAACCCAAGTTACCTCACCTGAGATCCGAGTTGACCCATCTTAAATATGATTAGAACTAAAATTTTCTTATAGATAACAAAGAAAGGGCTATTACGGGATCCTCACCCAATGAAGAACCCATTGACAAAAAGAGACATATCCAAATATTATCAATTCTATCAATATTATGCCCATGACACTGAAGATTGTTATAACTTGAAAGAGCATATTAAAGAGTTCATACTTTAAGAACACCTCGGGTGGTTTGTTTAAAAGCACGGAAACACTTATTAGAAGTGGAAGGGTGGTGAGACAACTATTTAGCCTATAAGGTTTATGCTTGAGCTACCATTAAAAAGCGCCTAACAATAAAGGGTGATCCGAATATAACTTTCAAAGAGGATTAAGCAAAGTACCTTAACCCAAATCACAATGATGCTTTTCTGGTTTATGTGAGGATGATTAATGATTAGATGAAGAGGGTCAAGATTAATACAAGTAGCCTTACTGATATCCTATACTTTGATTTTCTTTTTTAAATTTGAGTTGTTAACTAATGATGTATCCCCAATAACTTTGTCACTGATGGGATTCACTAGTAACTCCACAATGCCACTTGAGACTATGAACTTACACATCATATTCGGAGGCAAGACCTACTCCAAAATAATATCGACTAAGTTCATAATGATAAATATCCCCTTGGCGTATAATATGAACATAGACTCACACTTAACAGACCGAGGGCGATAGTGTCAACTACCAAATGATGATGATTAAGTTCCCGACGAGGGCCAGTATCGAAGAGCTAAGAAGTAACCCAAAGAAGTTGCATTAATGCTACTTGATGGTGGTTTCCCTATTTCATAAATTCTGATATGAAGAATCATATATGAACTCTCAAGACATTACCAAGTTTACCCCACATCCTGAGCCAGTAGAGCTAATAATCGAGGTGCATCTAGATAAAGCTCAACTCGATCGAACTGTTAAGATCAAGGCGACGCTTCTCGAGGAGAGACATGAGAAACTCATCAACTTCCTTCGAGAGAATGTCAAAGTATTCGCATGATCACTAAGACACATGCTAAGAATCAACCCCAATGTAGCTCAAAGACAACTCAGATCAAGAAAAAAAATGCCTAAAGTGCGTGGATAAAAAAAACTCGACTCTGGTCAGGTGCCCCAACCATCTCGTTGCTCAAGGTGGAAAGGTCGAGTGCCTCGACCCCCCTCATTATCTAAGGTTCAGAGGTTGTGCATCTTGACCCCTCACCACCTGAGACATAGAGGCCGAGCAATACCGACCCCCTCACCACTCGAGGTGTAGAGGTTGAGCATTATCCTAATCTCCTTTGGGTGTGCTTAAGGTATGTTAGTTGGGTACCCCTACTCCCTTTCAGAGAAGCAATCAAAGAAGAATAAAATTAATATTTTATATGAGCTAGACATCACGCTTCAAGACCCTAACTAAAGAACTCCTGAAGTACACCTTCGGGAAGAGGGGGGGGGGGGGGGGACGACATATGATAGAGAGGATATCAACAATAAATCACCATATAATATTTGGCCTTTACGTACAAAAGCTACCCCTACTAGTCTGCCCATATGGATATAAACTCCAAACAGACAATTATAGATTATCTTTACCCTTATTGCTTATACAGATAAGAGGTTGAATTGAGATTGTTAGAGGTGGTTGAAGGTTGCCTCTTTGTAGAATATTATGCTCATTTATTATAATGTATAAAAACCCACTTTAAACAGGGTTATCTTTTATAACTCATACTATACTCACCTTCCTTACGTAACTAACTTGAGCCTTGAAGGGATTAGATTGGAAAACCTCTCAACCTCTATATTCGTATAGATAATACGCTCGATAATTTTTACCTTTGTAATTCCTCAAACACCATTATGCATACATGCCAAAACTACATCAAGCTAACTAGGACAATAATGACATCTTCCCACAATGCTTGAGGCATAAAAATTTTAATTTAATTTTTTAATCCACATATATTTTATTTATATTTTATGGCTTTAAGCTGAAAAAAGAAGAAGAAATAGTTCGTCAAGTTTCTTCATGAGATTGCTGGAAAGATGGAAGCGAGGCAAGCTTGCATAAGTGATATTTTTTTTTTCCTTGTTTAGTTTGACTTTTGAGAATTTTAATTCAATTTCAACTCACTTTTGGATCAAAGTGGTCAAATCGAATCAAATTAGTTCCTATTGGACCAGCGTACTATTAATCAAGTTTGAGATTGCTTTTCTATTGATCAAGCCGTGTGATTTGCCGCGTTTGATGTTTTTGGATAGCGGACGGTCGCTGATGGTACCCTTGTAACCCGCTATATGTTACGTTTGATTGCACGTGAGAGACACGTGATAATTAAGTAATTGAGACAGAACCGCTTGCCCGTTCCCTCTGCAACGGCCTCCCTATCTCTCTCTCTCGCTCGGTCGCTCGCTTTTTCTTGTTCTTCTTCAAACCATCGATTACTCGTCCTCTTCAACTCGCTTTTCGCTTCGCCGTTGCTCCCGTTGGTGGCGTTCCGATGCGGTCTACGATGCCGTCATCTTACATCGATCAGAACTCCTCGCCGATATTATTGCTTCGAGGGGTTGGGAAATCAGAAGGGGTTTGATGGCCAAACTCATGCCAGGTCAGTCAATCTTTGTGTTTCAAACATAAGACAATGGGCTTGTCAGCCTCTCTTATCTTGCCTTCTGCTTATAATGTTCCTGTTAATGTTGATTAACCCGATGAGGTGGATACCCTGCTATATGCGCCTTTTCGCATGTGTTGGATTCTTCTCGGGATAATATTTTGAAGAACATCCAAAAATCTTTGGATTCCAGTTTTCTTGTAGGGACCGTCCCTGATACCAATCATCCAGCTACCTGGATGTTAGCGTATATGATCCTTTTTTGACTGATAGTTTTACCTCTTGATTAATGAAATGATTTAGAAAGGCAGCTGTTGTAGGTGACCATACCCTAGATATGATGTGAATGGTAAAGTTCATCAATGACCAGAGGTCAATGAGAATATCATGAGAGCAATTAATACAAATCAAGGAAACCCAAAAAAAAAAAAAAAAGCTGCAATCAACTGTTTGGTTTTCCATTGTTATTCTTGAACGGTGCATGTCAGTATTAGTCCACATGTACTACTCTGTTTTCATTATTTTCCATGTTGTAAAATAATGTTTTCTTGAATAGTTTAATCTCAAGATATTGATTTAAAGGATTGAATTGAAGCCATAAATTGAATGAGGCATTGTTCTCTTTATTCTGGCGTACACAAATATTGGTCCAAGGAGATAAAGGTATACGTGATGATGTGAAGGGGATGATAAAGACAAGGTACTTTAATGCGGAATATAGTGGGGGTGTTCATGTCTAACGAAAAACAGACACCGTGTTTTTTTAATTTGAGATTAAAGGTTGTTTCTGGGCCAGCGGCATTTAATCCCTTTCTATTTCCTTTTTGTGTACTACAATATATTTTTCCCCTTAAAAGGATCATCTCTCTGTCAGCTTTTGCTCAAACCATCAGCTTACAGCAGCTAGTATTGCTCCAATTAAACCTCCACCGATTAGATGAACTCACCACTTGCACAGTGATATCAAATCGAAATCGTCATTTTTATGCTGCAGTCATGTAAATCCTATTCAAAGTCGTGGCACTTCAAGCTTCGATTGCTAGGCTGGGAACAAGCATGAACAGGGCCAGCAATTCAAGCTTCGATTGGTTAAAATGCTCTTTGTGCACTAATATTCGAAGAAAATTTGTGCTAGGCTTGATTTTGGTAAATGCTTGAGGGTTTACACCTAACTGTTTTCTCTGAGACATGGCTAGTTTGAGCTTTATTCCAGTCTGATCTATATATTTCTTTGACATAAATTGCACCTCTCATCAAGGTGAAACCATAGGCAATGTCCCATTTTCAAAAAAAATTCACCCTATAATGAAACCTCAAATGGACTGGTTCTGTGCATGATACTGCAAAGTCGTACTTCCGAGCATAATTTTCTTCTATCAGATGTACTTCCCAGAATACTTTCCTTATAATTGGATGTCACTTGTGCTCGATGATCATAGTATGGTTGTTACTAATCTTTAATATGTTTTGATTTCTTGACATTTCTGAGTACAACATAATGCAGCCTCCGTGATCTCTGTGGATTTAATCTCAATTGCCGCTAATCGATACTGAAAAATAGTTTCTATAATTTTCCCTATTTATTTACCAAGTGAAATCTCTTTTTTTAAAGATGGGGGAGACAACCACCTGGATTCGCACTCCTCAACTCGCCGTCTAATGCTGGTCCAGACTCCGTATTGGCTAAATGGGTACGTGGATCATGCCATTCCTCGTTCTTGGTAGTTTATAGTGCCATTCATAAATGATCAAAGCAAACTCTTTTCCCCTTCCATAAGATTGCCTCTCACGAAGCCATGGTCCTCTTTCACAAGTAACACACCCATGGATTTACTTGGGTTACGAACACAAGTTATGTTGCAAGGAACAGGAAACTAGAAAGGGCGGGAACCACTGTTGAGCAAGACGAGACTCCAAAACAAGCTTGGACAGACTAGGTTATACATATGCATGTCACCTAAACAAATGTGAATCTAATCTATCCGACGTCAATTCAAATTTGCTATACAACACCAGAATAGTAGAGTAGATGGTACACAAAAAATAAATTCCCCTCGCAGTACCTGAACCACTTATTCGATATCCAAACCACTGGGACTCAGAGAACTGAGTCCACCGGGCTGCGGCCGTAGCGCTTACCGCGGCGGCGGCGATAGCTCAACTTTGCCTCGCCTGATGCAAGGAAATCCTCGGCTTCAGGACCGAGATTACACTCCGGTGGTGGTGTCGGATAACGAACGCGATCATGACAGTACGAGTAGGTGATGTGCTTCTTTCGGAACTTGTCCATCGCCGTCCGTTGATCTGCTGACATTGTGATGGAATCGTAGACTGCGGCGTCGTATCCCAGACAGGTGGTTCTGTGTTCAATCGGATCGACGGCGCAGCCATGGAGCACAAGGTCGGCGAACTCGGCTTCGTAAGGGGCATATTTGTAGTTGACCTTGTAGCGGCCGCCCGAGGTGGCCCAAGTGGAGCCATCCCATATGGTGGCATAGAGGGACATGGGCTTCGAGGGGAAGTCCCCGCCCATGGCTTGGGTCCGCACCACCTCCCTGATGGGGATGTCGTCAATGTAAAATCTGCCCAAAGAACAGAGAGAACCGGATGAGATTAGATTCGGTGAGTCTTTTGTGGGAAACGTTGAGACTCTACAACTGCTAGTCTACGAAAACAAAAGGGTTGCATCTAGCATTCACCATTATTCCTTGGAACCAATAGTCTTCAAATGGTGAAACCAGACACCTCTAGCCTTCCCTCCAACTGATCATGATGGCATCGCAATGACATAATAATGTAATATTATGTGCATCTTACGATATCATAATGCTACGAGCATGTTTTCAATATAAAATCTGTTCTAGGGAAGGAGATTTAATTAGGTCAGGTTATAATCAGGAGATCTTTCTAGTTGGTTGAAAGCTTTCCATTTATTATTGCATGAAAAGCGGATCATGGCCATAGAAAAGGGGTAGCACGCATGTGACTCGTTTCCAAGTAAATCCGGGTGTGGATGTCTTTCTGTTCTCTAGCATTTTATCTTTTTCTGCACAAGAAAGCAAAGGCAAAGTAGATTTTAAGGAAGCAAAGCATCATCGTTGCTTGCAACTTGTAAAGCCAGCTAAAAGAAAAATTGGAAGAAAACCACTTAAATTCAGAGATAAACGATGATGCACAAGTAAAGAATAAAAAGAAAAAAAATTCTTAACAAATCAGAATGAGAAATATAGGTTGTCATTATGAAATCTTCGATTTAACTAGCAGAATCATAAAGGAAATAAAATAATATCCTATATATGTATGTAGAAAACTTACATGATCCTTTCACCGCTCCACAGTATGGAGTACTGATGGTAGTCCTCTGTGGGATCGAACCAGAGCCCGTATCTCTCTTCCCTACCAACCGCGGTGCTCCCGTTCCCATAAACATTTGTCTGAACCCTCCACTCCCTGCCTCTTATATTCCCCAAGAATTCGAAATCCAATTCATCGTGTGTCTTCTCGAATACATCTCCGTTCGACATCTGCGTTGACATCAAAAGAATCCTTTAGTATCCTGCAATCACGGTAACAAGTCTTTTCTGATCAACTTGCCGTAGGATGCTGTTCTAAGTTGAGGAGAACAAGAGAAGAATAGAGAGCCATCCTTGTAAATGCTACCGGGTTCTAAGAACTGACCTTTGTCGACTCTTAGGAAAATATTAAAGACGATGCAAATTAAACGACAGAAAAAGTCAACGGGCTTCGATGGCAAGGTCTCAGCTCAAGGTGAAAAGAAACAGGGGAACCAATTTTTTTCCCTTTCCCAAGAAGCATAGACAGAAAAAAAAAACATTAGGAAATGCTTAGGAGTAGAGATGCTTGCCTAACTGGAATTTCAGCTTAGAAAATACTATCAGTACGCAGGAGAAGAATCATGAGCTTATTGTGGAAATGGAAGCATACATAAAAGGCAACAACGACTCCGGCAGCGTAATCTGCAGGCAGTTTGATGGAGGCACTGAAGAATCCATGGCGATAGAGGTCTTGTGACGCAAATCCAGCACCTAAAGAAAGAAACAGCCATTGAGAGTTTAGCAACAACATCCATCCATCTGTTTATAGAGGAGATGAAAAATGAAAATAATGAAGTAGGGACAGAGACAGTAAAAGAATAGGAAGGTAAGCAGCAAGCACCGGTCCGCCGGTCGAGGGAGAGGTGGACGCTCCTGCCATCGCGATGAAGCATGAGATTGGAGTCTCCAAATAGCTGTGTATAGCCTTCCTCAAAAGCGAGGGTGGTGAGGTTGGGCAGTTCTGGGAGAGCAGTAGCCTCATTGGAGAGGAACAGCGCAACACCCAACAAGAGGAGGAAGAAGGACGAGGAAGAAGAAGAAGAAGAAGAAGCCATCACTTCTACTCTCAAGATCATCTCTCTGCTCTGCTCTTCCCCTCTCAGCCTTAAACTACCTTGCTCGCTTTCTCTAGCTGTCTCTTTCCGTCTCGGTGGTTTATCTTATCGTGGAGGCAAGAGCTGTATCTTATGTTCCTTGGGTGAGGAGGAAAGAAAGGTCCAGGAGTTGAAAGGAGAGGGCCATTGCTGGCGTTTTATTGGGAGCCGGGAGAGGAGAAGTTATTTCATTGGAGACATGGGTGATGAACACTGGATGGTGTTTGACATTACTATCCAAGCATAGAATAAAATGCAGTAAAAGGTGATCATCCGATAGTGTAATCTATTTCGTATTGTATTCAACAGGTCCTACGTTTGATTGTTCCATTTTTTATACAACAACAATGGTTTGATTTGTTTGAATGCATGACAATCTATTTTGTAAACGGGAAGGTCTTTAATTATTCCACGACTTGGAGACAAACATTATGCTCATCTCACTGATTGATTGAGAGTGGTCATGGCTTTGTTAGGTGTGCTAGTCTAATCGATCAATGTGTAATTGTAAGTACCTGCTAGAAAAATGAAACTTACCAACCTCTTAAGAGTTGGCATTCTGAAACCTGTGGCCTTGGCCAACTCTTAGCTGTGTCGCATATCTGACAACTCGCCCTTGGCCTCAGCCAACAGCTGAACATTTGTTCTTGTGCACACCCTCATCCTAATCTGATCGGATGAATGCAGTGCCAGCTAATGCCCTACGCAGCAGCAGACTCCAAAAACAATGACCAGGGGAAGAAGAACAAATGACTGCAGCATGTATCTTCGTGCAAGGAAGCTCTCTCATACTTGTGGACTACCTTTGCCATTTTGATGATCAAAACCAAAACCATGAAAATGGTCTATATTTTTGTATGGATCAGACTGCATGATTTTTTTCACCCTCCCATCATGCGGAAAGTAAAAGATGATGGAGCTATTGAAGTTAACGTTTGGATTTTTAATCTTGGACGTAGTCATAGACAAGGACAAATTAAATTACTCAAATCCTTTGCAAACCCTACATGATGAAGCCTGGATTTCTTTTCTTGTATGAGACAGAGAGAGCAAGAAAAAGAAAAAGGGATGATGAAGACAAATGTTAGGAATTCGGAGCAGTGATTCGAATGGGGAGGACATTTTGGGTCACATGCAAACGCGCAAAGATTTGGAGGTATTTGTGAGCCAATTTGCGCGTGGTCGGAGCTTAGCGGCTCATTCATGATATAATAAGATACTGTTGAGTGGTTAGGCGGTGCAAATCCGCAGGATTTAAGAGAAGTCGTCGTGTAGCCACGGCATCGGTGTGGCAGAGAGGACCCCATCGCTGGACAGGCTGTCTTAGCCAATCGCAGCTCTCGACTTCACCCTTCCCCGTGACGACTCCTCCCTCTCCGCTCTTTTTTACCTTCGTCCCCATGCATGCAGTGCTCTCCGTCATACACACACACACACACTCTCTCTCTCTCTCTCTCTGATAGTATTTTTTTCCCTTGGCTCGAAAGCACAAAACGTCCATCATACCTAGGGACCATGGCCTTGACTCGATGCTCGGAGGCCAGGCCGACCTGTGACCCCAACCACCAGGCTTTATCCATTGATGTCTTGTCCTGATGCAGAGGGCACTGCGACTGGGAGGGGGGGGGGGGAGTTAATGAAGGGGAGGTGGCTTGCAGAAAAAGGTTTGGGGGTGGGGGAATGGAGGTCATTTTCTCTGTGCTAGGGCTACAGCTGTGCTGCATGTGGTGGTGGGAAGAGGAGGAGGGACAGGATTTAAGCGGGTGATATCCAATTGGGTGGTGGCCGTGGCATTGTCTATCACGCAAAGGTTGGCCATAAAGATGTGCCGTGCTTGCCATGGGGAGGAAGACGGAGAGAGAGAGCCGAGCTTTTGCATGGGGATCAACTTCCCTTGGGGACTTGGGAACCATGGAGGAGCATGTTGGCGTGCTGCGGTAGACTATGAGACTCACACCTCACATGCTTTGCCACGGACGAGTTATACAATGCATGTTACCGGAACCTAACAATCTTAAGTTAGGGGTGGGCAGGCTGCAAAGATCCTTAATCATTTGTTGCTTACGTTAGGGGAAGAGAAAGGAGAGCATATGCTTCTGCCAGTGACGACAGAAGGAGATTTTTTTATCAAGAGAGAGGGTAAGAGAGGAATGAAATGGAGTATGGTGTATGAAAGAGAGAGAGGTATGGAAATCTAGTCCTTCACCCGTCGAGATAATAACATCGGGTCTCCGAGTTGTTCCGTATTATGTTGCTGCGAATATATTCCTTTATATCAATATTTATCTTCGGTCAAGACTCTCTTAACGAGAGTCAATGTTCGATGAATACTCGATTATCCGGCTCAAAGGAAATCGTGATATTTTTTCAAAAGTTTAAGCTTCAAATTGTCCATTTGAAGAATATAAATCATATTTTCTTTTATGTATATGAGTTACTCCTGAACCCAGAATCATCATGTCTTATCTTATTTGATTTGTTACATCAGGATTATTATTTGAGGATCATTTTATAATCTATATCTTGATTCTGGAAAGAAGGTTAGAGTACAAATATGAAAGAATAAGTATCATGACCAATACATTGAGTCAGAAAATAAAACGGGTGAATGTGATACGGCTAAAGGGCGGAGGCACACCCTGAGCCACCACAAGTTAGCACGAAGAGAGAGAGAGAGAGAGAGAGGGGTGGGGGAGGGGTTGAGAAGAATATCATTTCTATTCATAACTTATGGGGGTCGTCCCATTTGATGAAAGTGGGCACTGACTAAGAATTAGATAAAAATATACCATATATGTATTTAGATAATTGGAAGACTATCATATCAATTTTAAGAAAAAAGAAATAGAAGATTCATGCCAACAAACTAAGTTAAATTTTGGGTATTTTGGATATGATAATATGTAATTTCATGAAAGAGTTTTCCTTTTTAATTTTTAATTTTTATTTTCAGTTTGGTGTGGTAATTGTTTTTCTAATATCTTAAATATTTCTCATCATCACGAATACTTTTTCTTCCCTTTGTTGCTGCATTGACACTATTGATTATCGTTGCTTCTTCTTTCAATGAGTGTTATTGATCACCTCGAAATTATCTCACTTTTATCATATCATAATCCTCTATGTTTCGTCATTTTCACTCTTGTCATGGTAGCCTCCTATCCTTCATGAGGTCTTATCATAATCCTCTATGTTTCGTCATAATCCTCTATCCTCCTATTTGGATCCCACCTCCATTGAGAAATAATTAGAGTATTAGAGGAAAATAAGAACACCAAATGAGAAATTTAAAAAATAAAAAATAAAATAAAAACATCATTCAAAATAATCCCAAAATGATAGCATTCTAAGAGAAATCGTCCTATGATAATTGTATCAATAAGTTGAACTTGAGCGCACTCCACCTATTACATATAATATAATAGATAAGTGTGTGTTTATTTTAGTAACGTGAAGTAGAATTATGTTGAGCACGATATGATTTGAGTATAGTCTAACTAACATTCAATATTTAATTTGATTTATTTATAAGACTTGTATTCAATAATGACTAGTATATTAATTCACCCTTCATTGATCGATTGAACGAGAATTAATCAGGTGAAGTACTCAAGGATCAATCTTGCTCGTTTATTGATTGGGTAGATCATATCGATCGACTCGCTTGTGACACAAATCCATAGGTCAAATCTACACTCGTCAATGTCGAGGAAGTGTTTTTTACTATCGTCATATCGATCGTCGTCGTAATGTTGTCCGCATATTTGCATAATAAAGTGGAAAACAAAGCAATTGCTTTTTAAATATATATGGATTTTTTTGGCTAATAATTAGGTTTTGGTTATTGAGAAACTTTCATAATTGTTTGGCATACTTCATTCATGATAATTGACGTTCCAATGTGAGAGATTGATGATTTAAGGATTTTGCCTAAGAGCAATCGAGATGTCAAAATATGGAAGCATGAACATCACCTTACAATGAAATCTCCTTTGATGTTTATGCCAAATCATTTCTCAAAAAATAATAACGATTGTGTTATAAAGAATATTCTTGAATTCTAGATGATTATATCGAGCATTCTTATGGATCTTATGGTTTTAATTTAGTAGCCACATATCGCTAAAGCAGTTTATTGTCGTGGCATGGGAGTTGATCTTCTTTTGACAATATTCGAACGATTATATTATAAAAAAATATTCTTAAAGTTTGGATGACTATATCGAGTATTTTTTTTTATTATGATATATATCTTGCGGATTTAGTTTAGTAGTAGTATGACACATCACCGAAGTGGATTATTATTGTGGTGGCGTGGGAGTTGACCTTATTTTTACATAATTCATCAAATTAAAAAAAAATCAATTGTTAGTCGGAGGTTAGATTGTACTATTATTAATTTTAGCTTAAACTTATCGACAATCTTACTAACATATTATTATTTGACTTATATTATATGGTTGTCGGAGTCGTTCCTCGATCAAATTACAATCCAACCATCAATTTGAAATAAATGAGAGTATAAAACGTTGCCCATATATCAATATTTGATTAGTATAAATTATTTCCCCAAACTAATTCACTGCTGTAAGGTAAGAGTCTAACCTTTGGGACACATGCACAACTATTTACCTCGTTTTGGTTACAATGGATGTGATTTGCCATTATCTTTTCTTACTTGAACCATTTTTCTTGTAAGATAATGAAATGGAAGGCCAATGAACATGGCCACAATATCTATCATTCGTAGAATATTGGATGGAGCATACGCAGTACGAGAAGAAGAAGAGGAGAAAATGAGAAGGTGAAAACAGAGTAGGGAGAGGAAGAAGAAGAGCTACTTCTACATTACGGATGCGTGCGTGCCGCCTTTGTCCTCCGCTGCGGACACAGCTCGGCCTGTGATCTGTACTCCCTGTCAGTGTACAGAACTGTCAGCGCGGCGGTAAACTCTGCTGCTGCTCTGTGAGTCGTACCTTTGACTACGTATCAATGGCGGCACTGTTGGTTCACATGCGGTCCTTTGTGCCATCTCTCCCACTCCTCGCCTCTCTCTCTTTCTCTCTCTCTCTTGCGGTTGTAATCGGAAGGACCATCCACCCCAACCACCAATCCATCCCTTTCTCTCTCTCTCTGTGCTTCCAATCGATCTAAGCCACGCCTTGTCAGATGACGAGCTCGTCCTTCCACTGCACAAGCTCCGGCGCAGGTCCCTCCAAGGTTGAAGGACATGGGCACCTCATCATTGATTTGGCCATTTAGAACATGGCAGGAGAAAGATGCCGCCTGTCGCTCTTAAAGCTTTCCTAAGACAGCTCATAATAGGTCACCAGAGGCTGTCAACTTCAATATCAACTTGCCAATCATGGTGGCAAAAGTGATGAGATATCTATAGATCAATCTTAGTAGTGAATAGAGTAACCAAACACGAATGGGCATCTACAGAACCCTCGCTGATTCAAATGTGTGAAACAAAAAGTCTCCAACTTCGCATTTGAAGAACAATAATCACAAGAAAGTGCATACTGTAGAAGTCCATGAATCACATATTTCATACAAGTGTTATACATGAACAAGTCGATGCTATCTAATCCTGATTCATGAACATACATATTAAGCAGTTGAATTGCTATGGAGACTGCCAAAACTAATTTAAACATACACCCAAGTAGCAAGAAATGAGTATTCTGTGTAGTTGTTGCAGATTAGTTCAGATGCCATCCGTGATTACCATGTACAAAAGAGCACACCTTGTGTGTCAGCTAAGCTACACCCACATCTTCTTTGTCGCTTCCATCCGTTCGAGCAAACCGGCAATCTCAGCTTGCATCCTCATCTTCATGTTCTGATAATCGCAATGAGAGTTTTCGAGAAACTTCAGTTCCTCCAGCTTCTTCCTGCGCCTATCTTCAGTCTCCTGTAGCAAGAGTTTTGCGATCTTGTTACCGTAATCCTCCTCCAACTTCTCAGACTTGCCACGTACTATATGGCGGTAGCTCTCAACTTCTCTCCTGGCATCATCAGCTAGTTTCTGGAATAGCTTAGCCTCTGCCTCCTTGCATTTTACAATGGTCTCCAAACTCTTGAATCCATCATCCTTCAATGAAGTAAAATGGGGTTCTAGTGCAACAGGCTTGGCATCTGCTTTCAGTGCATCTATCTGTTTGTCCAGTATAGATGCGGTGGGGCTAAAGCTGATTGCAGATTTTGACACATTGATGGCTGCTGCTGATGGAAGGGGCGTATCTGCATGCTGGGTTGCTTGAGCAAGTATGTTTTTAGAGGAACTGCCGGTAACGGAAAACTCCGTGACTCCATCTGAAATAAGGAATGTAAGGAACAGTTGGCACTAGAAATTTGAATGCAAACACTTGACACTAGGCAATTCTAGAATTAAACAGATAGATGCTCACATTCCAGAATTCACAAACATTAAGAAGACACATCTGGCAGAGTCAGACGCATATGGCATTGCATGCTTAGTTGGACCCCATTTCAATGATCTTTATTTTCTTATTGTGATAGCTTTTGCACAATGAACGGTTCCTATGTGATTGCTCTTTCACGAATCAAGTTCTGCAACAGTCCTAATACTTCAAAATCTTAAAATCGATGATCTTTGGACATGTCCATTAGGTCATCATACCATTTAACAGACTGAATACCAAATCCAACTCTATATGAAGCCAAAATATGTAGGATTTGCAGAATCTCATTCTAAGCCATGTTTCCTGATTCATAAGCACTTTCTTCTTAAATTCTCCTATAATCACCTTCCGCTCGAACTGTAAGTAATTATGTAACTAGCTCTTCGATCAGAAAATTCATGTCCAATATATTACTCTAGAACTATATGCCCATTTCTGCTTGATAATTTAGATTTTGATTTGTCCATCATATTCTCACATCCCCTAGGAGTATAAGCATTCTTCTTGACTACATTACATTGTCTTTCACGACATGCTTTTGCATTGAAAGATGGAACTAACAACACATGTTCAAATTTGCAGACTAATAAATAATCAGTCTTGAACATCAACATTTACACTTCTCTTTCGGAAATCAACATTATATAAAGATCCTTCATGTATTGGCAAGTAGCCTCAAATTACACATCTCATAATAAACCTGCATCAATAAAATATAGGATCATTCTGTATCTGATAAAATACTTTCATTATCATTTTCATACTTCACAAGCAGGAATAACCATATCTGTACAGCATATTCTTGTCAACCTTGCATCACTCTGCCCAGAATGTCCAGGCCTGCACTCTCTACTACTTGTTGCCAAGGTGATGTGAAATGAAAATGTAAAGACTGAAATATGAAGCATGACCAAAGCATCTGTTGTAATATAACTACTGGTCAAAATAGAAGGTGATATACTGGGTATGCGTATTCCGATAAATATTCGTGATGTACAAAAACAAGAGGACGCTATAATTGAGCTAGAGTCAGTAGTCACTATTTAATTTTTATATATGGCCTTTCACCATTTATCAATATCAGTCAGCCACTTAATCTTATTTTATATTAACATAAACAGTCCCTTCAGCACACACACATCACTAATGATAGCATAATTGCAGAAAAAGCAGATCCCGAGGTTGTGTTGCATTAAAGATGCAAATATATAAAACAAAAGTTCCATAAACATATTTCTGTTCCTGCACTAGAGAACATGCTAAGAAATTTTTTGGGAAACATCTGAGGACCAGCTATATGCTTAGAACACATTTTTATTCAAAGATAAAAATTGTTGATCAGGCATTTAAAGCCTATCCACAATCATGTGAACAAAGCTTTTGTACTTCTGAGTAACCAGGGCACAGAAGTACAGGCTATGATGACTGCCCATGCATTTAATTAGATATCCCCAGGAACAAGCTGATGAGAGCAAACAAGCCACAAGCACCTTCATGAAGCGGCATCTAATATGCAGTAATAGGAGTGAAGAATGAGAGACATAAAAAGAAAACCTCATGGAGGATCAACATATAAATTCGGATGATAGGAACCGGGGACAAAAAGGAAAGTATAGATGCAAGTTTAAATAGCAAGATAATAGCCACTATCTAGTAAAACAGAGCTTTAAAAAATGAGCAGTTTCAAAAGGACTATGACACCCGGAAGGCCACCTTCAAGCAACACCTAAATAAGAAAATTGTGTACATCATATTCATGACCAAACAAAAAACTTATAATTGCTACCTCAACAAAAACATATATTGCATCAGATATAAGTACTAACCGCAAGCTTTGGTATAACCTAAACAATTACCAAGAAGAGAAGTGCAAGATGTAGCCATGCATATAGACAAATCTCATCACAAAGGAACCCTCATATCCCATAATACAGGCTCACTCAACATAGAGGAGAGGTCCACTCATCAAGGGAGTGGATGCATCGTTCAAAGCACACAGGCAGCAATATTCTACACATGACCTGCTTTGAAATCAAATTATAGAGAGAAGAGAAGCAAATAATGTTAAGGCCAAGTTACTTTTGGCATTTCTTGCAATCCTGTGAACTAAAACACCACTATAGAAAGTTAAGTGATTATGGGCTGACTTCAAACATCATGAAAGACACAGCCTTCATAATCGAATATAAAAGATGATATGAATCCGGCGCAGAAAGATAAGATGGTGAACTAAGGAAATCACAGAACAGGTAAGAAAACCACAAAACAAGGATATTACTGACATCAGAAGCAACCAGAGATCATCAAGATACTCACACTTGAAAAAAAGTATCATGCAAGCACATGCATCCTCCGGGGAAATTACTTTCTTGATGAGCATGTTGAGGACCTCCACAGCTTTTGCATGAAGCCCCTTTCCTTCAAAATCTTCACTAGCTTGGAAGATCATTCTAACACAGTCCAGCTCTTTCATTAATGCCTCAGGACCCCAATTTTTAGCACACTCATTAAACACATCTTTGACAAATCCAAACATCTCAGAAGCATGCCCACATCCCAGGCACTGATATTGCATCTCAGTCATGCCTCTAGGTCCTTTTGAGTTTGGTCCGGGCCTAATTAAATTCTTCTCAATGCCACAAATAGCATGGCACCAATGGGAACAATTATCACAACCAACCCAACTGCAAGTATTCAAAGCACAATCAAATTTGAAACATATAGGACATGTGCAGGCACTACAGAAACCTTTTCTGGTGGAACATATCTTGCAGACACAGTCATCAACCGGCAGCACATTCTTACAATTCACATTCCTGCACCTCATGAGCAAAAAAATCTCGACCAACTCATTATTGGGGATTCGGCTCTTTCCCGAGACATAAGATACGGTACCAGTCTTGATAGCAACCAAAACTTCAAGGTGCGTCCTGTGTGCTTTTGAGAGGATCTCAAACGTAAGATCCGACCTCCTCTCTAGTTTCCTCTGCAGGCTAGCAAACTCATGCTTCTTATCCGGAACTTCCATAAGGTTCCTGAGACACTCTCTCAGTGCTTCCAATGATTCACTATGAGATTCATAAAGCAATTGTGCAATGACAGGAACCGACTCAGACACTAATTCTCTCAAAACCTTATCCAGCCTAGAAAGCATGCTATTTCTGCCGCTATCTGAACTCACGACACCATTAACTTTTGCAGGCCTCGCAGGCAATTCAGATGGAAAGAAAGAGACATTTCCTGAGCTGTTTGCCTTGTACAGACTATTGTTGAGTTCTTTGTTGTGGTTCGCAAAAGCAATGGTATTGCCATCACCCACAGGCCTAAACTTGCTATGAACTGAGCCATTCGTCCCCTCCCCGGCAAACCAAATCTTATCATTGTCCCCCCTCGAGAAGTCATAATTATCGGTGGAGTTCCGTGTCAAGGAGCAGCTGGGGTTATGTGAAAACGGGACGGAGCACGAGTACGAGAGCGAGGGGGCAAAGTCCTCCGAATTCGCAGCTCGCATGCTATTACTGTAACTATTTTTCGGTGGAACCACCAAAACAGGGACACTCGGAGTGGTAGCCACCCCGGCGACATTCGTCGCCGGAATGGAAGAGTTGAGAGACAGGGAAAGGTTGGGCGGGGAGAGGGAGAGGTTCAAAGTCTCAATCTTAACCTTCTTCTTACGGTCATCGGCCTCATCGGCATCCTCGGGCGTCTCCCGCTTCGCGGACGGCTTGCCACCAGCCAATTGAAGGAAGTCTCGCTCGATCCATCGCCGATCGTCTACGGCCGAGATGTTCGGGGCGACCTCCTTGCCCTTCAATCGGGATTTCTCGAGGGAAACGAGGAGATCGGAGCCAAGGCCCTCCTTTTCATAGGCAGCAGAGGCCCCCGGTTTCATATTGTCGCAGAGGTAACTGAGCGTGAGCTCCTGCGGAGCGGTGGCGGCGCCGTGTGTGGTGGGTGGCGACGCGGACGCGGCGGCATCCCGAAAGAGGTAAGGCTTAGATGGCGGGTCCTCGAGATCAAGAGGGTCAGGGCTGGGATGTGGGAGCTGGGGACTGGGAGAGGAGTCCTTGCGGGGATCGGATTCGGGGAACATGGCGGAGGAGGAGAAATCGAAGGAGAAGAAACTGGCGAGGGTTTCGGAAAGAAGTATCGAAGAAAAAGTAGGGTTTTGAGGGGTTTACAATCGTCTTCGCCCCCCGTCTCCGAGCTCGAGCTCGCGCGCCCGCTCTCCTCCTCCCTCCTTGGGGCCGTCGACGTCGCCGTCTCCGATGTTGGCGCGGTCTTACGCTTCGTCTCTCTTTTAGCTTTCGTTTCTTTTTTCCGTTAATTCTTCGTTTCAAGTGCTCCGCGGGATAAGCCAAGTGATGCGATGGATGGAGGTCGGGTCGGGTGCATCTTGTGACAGCTGCTTTGGGACTAGGGAGAGCGGCTGTCAAATTGTACCTGAGGTGTAAGATACCGTCCTGAACAACGGACCATAAGAGCAGGGAGCAGCTAACCTACCTTACTCAAAACAGGAAACAGTATTTTCCACCAAGTCTGCAATCTTCAACGTGCGCCTTTATAAGGGTGACGTGGGGCCCGCACGTCTGTAATGGGCAGGTAAATGCGTTTCCTGCTTTGCCACGCACAAGGATGTGGCCTCCGCGTCTGTAATGCAAGGCGGGGGCTTATAATTACGAGAATGCCAGGGGGCGCCGTGGGATTTGGTGAACCGTTGACATTCCATTCAACGGCTGGGATTTGCGCGTGACATGTAGGGGTGGTGGGGCCGCCGGCGGCGACAGTGCGGTCGTGGTGGACCCGATGCGGAGAGCTCAATGGGCAGCTTGCGTTCGAGTGGGTTTCACTGAATCTTACTCGACCAGCATTAACTCCCTTCGTTGACACGTATGCTTCTTTTACATGCTTTAATGAGACCTTTGACCTCCTGTAACCATACAGTAGATTCTAAGATGAGTCATACATCATAAATCGTTGTTACGGAATAATATCTCTATCAGAATCCGAATCTAAAGTCACTCTATTCAACTACTTGGCTCACTTACCATCTTTACTTTTAGATAAAGAGACAGTTTGTGTAGGGTGCCAATGTCCTAAATCCTCCCAATATTTAGTTTTCATTAGTTGCATCGACTTGATCATTGTGTAGCATCTACTGTTATCGATGTTATGGTGGCAGTGAATGGAAAAGAGGTGCAGTGGGTGGACCCATTGTTTGACGGGAGTAGTGATTCTTATGATCAAGGAATATCGTATGTGGGAAGCATTAACTGGTAGTGCAGCTCATTATTGAAGCATCCATCATTTCTGGGCATGTCAAAAGAAGCCTTGCTCAGAATCTTCAGGTAACATGTCTGGATTTTGGAGGAATATATCAAAGTTAGTGCAGCATCAAGAAGTGGTGTAATCTCAAGCACCAGGGTTTGCAAGATAATATATGTATTAAAAGTTCGGTAAGGGAATTACATCATCAAATCAAACTCTTATATGATTGGGATTTAGAGCCACGGTAGAGGAAATCATGCTACTTCATGGAACTTTTATTGGCATTTCACGGTAGAATGAAGAGTGCAGAGGAGAGAGTCAGTCTGGAGGACACAGTTTACAGCATGACAAGAGAGAGAGGCTTATTGTTCCTCAAAATAATTGACTTGTTATACAACATAGACTTTTGGCAATAGGGTCGAGAGCTTTCCCAGGAGATGTTTATTGATCTCATCATCAACCATCTTCTATATTGATCTTTCAGTGGGTTTCTTTTGGTCCACATACCCACTGCTGCATCCCATCATACTATGCCTTACAGTACTTCCTGGAGGAACAAGCCATAACAATGCGAAGCACTGCATTCTACAGAGTGCATACAGCATCAAGGATTTACCAAAGAAGCAATGCAACAATCTAAAGCCAATCATAACAAATCAATGAAGAATCCACATCCAAACCTAAGCACAAGTCTAGCAAACAAGAAGCTTGCTAAACCGTCACATGCCTCACTGTACATTGTCAGAAGAAAAATTGTTCTTGAAGAGATACCAATGTCGAACACCTAGAGCCTGAGAGTAAGGTCAGGCTCCTCTGCTGGCTGGTGATCCAGTTTTACCGAATTTGCACTCCCAAGCAGCTCAAGACTTGAATCTGCCTCCGGCCTAAAGCTTCCAGGCCAGAAGAATTCCACGTCGTAATCATCTAGAAAGACAGGCCTTGGCTCGAGCAAGCCCCTTCCAAGGAGTTTAGTGCCAGGGCTCTCCCTCCACTCCATCATTCTCTGGTGCATCGATGAGTGTGCCTTGATTCCCAGGGAATGGAGAGCTGAGCCATGGAGGGGTAATGATGCAATGCTGCTATAATTGTGTGGAAACGCATCTAACCCGACTGCCCGCTTGGCGAGCGTTCGCTCCCTCTTGTGAGCATTTTGATGGCCGCCCAACGCCTGGGAGCTGAAGAACTGGCGTTGGCAGTAGTTGCAGGAGAAGACTCGGCGGGAGTTGGGGGGGCGACACGCTTGTGACTCACTGCTGCTCTCGCTTGTGCTCGACAACGAGACAACCGCCAGTGCTGTGGAGTCCGCGTTGACGGATAGGGAGAGGTTAAGAGAGATGGGCGTGTCCTGCTTACTGAGAGAAGGAGAGGTCTCTTGGATGCACGTATTGGAAGCCACTTGACTGCTTGCTTCGAAATCATCTGCTGATGCTTCCGGTTTGGAACTGCTCATGTTTAGGCCCTGTAACAATAGAGACGCTGACGTACAAGAATTTAGCCCTCCTTCAGCTGCATCCACAAATAGAATTTTTATGGACATTTGAGAGGCCCAGATTTTGATAGAATGAGTCCCAATACTGAGAAGGAATTTAAGAACAAAGCATTCAAGAATCAGTCCCAATACTTCAGATAGAATTCGACATCAAAGTTTGCAGAAAGTATCAAGCATATGAGGTAAACAAAACGGTCCTAAGATAGTGAGCAAATATACCGACCAGGGAGGTAGATGTATCCTCAGCTCTTCCATGTGGGGAGGTGACTTCATGGTTCCTGATCTATTTCTGAGACAAGAAGAGGAAGGAGAAGAAGATAGAGGAGGAAACGGATGTACTGTGAGGTAGCCATATATAGCGGCATCTAGCGAGGTTTAATTATGGAAAGCAGAGGATGGGCCAGACGAAAGGCGTGGGCATGGAGAATTGACAAAAGGACATGTTTCCTTTTCTTTTCTTTATTGTCCACTATAACTGAGATGCCCTTTTTCATCTCTCTGTCACCACCACCAACATAAACACCGAAAAATAAATCCACGATGATGAAGATGCCACCGTCACCTGCATATAAAGGGATAAGAATAGAAGTTCCTAAGAGACCAGAGGAGGCCAAGAGTGCAGCATCGTTCTGCGTGATTGGGCTCCCGGTTGTCTGTCCCACACAGCGTCCATGGAGGTGGACATGCCTGCGCAGGCTCATCCGTTCTTCTCTCAGAGCTGCAGACAAATGATCCTAGCAATTTCTTCAAGAGCCATACAATAATGAACAATGGGGAGGGACCATACACAGCTGCCTTTGCAGAAACAGCGTAATGTGTGGATTAAGCATGAAGAGTCTGATCTTGACTTGTGATCAACCTCCAGCTGCATGTTTGAATCGTGTGAATGGAACAGACAGAAATAGCTGTTCCTGTTGATCGACAAGTGAGGATAGAAAGAAATCTTTTATCTCAAAATAAAGAACCAAAAATCTTCTTTATTTGTGATTCAAACGAGGATATCAGAAACTCTTTGAACTGCATGAGCCGAGCAGTGAGTTCTGAGGTACCACAACGCATGCGGTGGTCACAGATGTTTGTCTCATGGCATGCCAGTGGCAGGATAAAAGTAGATTCTAAGCATCGTTTTGTTGCTTTCGCTGTGGACGAGTTGAGGTGTATGCCCCCATGTTCATCTCCTTTGCCATCACATTTTCTTGTGGTAGTCTTTGTTGCCATAGCTTTTAATTTGATATGGCTTCTGCATGTTGGACAGCTGGCCAGTCATAAGCAGCCATGACATGAATGTAACAGTAGCAAAATGGCAAATGAATGTCCTTATCAATGCATCATATGGTTTCCATGTGAATTGTTTGTTCGATCGACCTCATTCACTGGCAGAGTTGGTGTCTTGTGGTGTTCACTCCACTCATGGGAATGACGAACGCCACCTTAAAAAGGACACTAAGGTAGGCGGTAAAGAATCAGCATTCTCATGTCTTGTTTTATTCAGCTAGTTGAATAGGCAAACCATAGAAACATACTGCACACTCGCTCTTTCTCGCTCCAATGACATCAAAAATAGAGAGAAAACACAAGGCAAATAATACTCAAACATCTCTAGCATATCAAGGTCTAAATGGACACCCTGGGAAGGGCCACTGAAATGCTCACGGCCACAGCAAACAGCAGGATGAATAGGCCAGTGAAGTTGATCAATCGAGATTCTGCTCCCGGCGCTGCATCGATCTGCACAAATCCCGTCTCCGCCGTGCACACCGTCAATAGAAAGATTGCTAGCCCGGCAGAAACATGCAATGGGAGCAGCAATATTCTCGTCGGCTCCGACGCTTTCAGAAACCAGAAGTTCACGAACCCGAACAGCCACTGCAAGCAAACGAGAACGAGAGACTTCTTCCTTGTTACTAATCTCGAACGAGAGAGAGAGATGAGTTGCAATGGAGGAAGGAAGAAGAACCTGCAAGCCGAATAAGCAGATGGTGCACATGCCCAACCAGGAATGCAAGCTTAACATGTCGGGCATGGTGTTGGCGCTGTGGTACTTGAAGGCAGCATAGATGCCAAGGATTCCGAGGACCAGTGCAACTAGATGAAGCATCAGGTGGACAGACTTCTGTGTTTCCTTCCGAGCTGGGATTGTCTTGTAAGCCATGATACCTGCTCATGACACATTGCCATGTCGTAAGTAATCAATCATATAGGCATTGTACGTCCATTACTGACAAGATCATGTACCTTCTCCGATCACCAGAATGAACCCCATACACATCACAAGAGGATGCACCTGTCAGAATCACCCAACGAACGAATCAAAAACGAGGAAGAGGGGTTATCAGGTTCTCATACGATGTGCAACAAAGTAGGGGAACCCTGTACATTGAAGATGAGATTGGGGTCATCCGAGTGCAGCCTGGCGGCGCCGCCTCGGAAGTGCAGAACCCACGCGAGCACGAGGACGAACACCGTGAGGGCGAGCACATGGGCGACTTTGGTGACATGGGCGGCGACCAGGAACGCAGGCTTCACCGTGTTGGGCATGGCGTCGAGGGGGGCGTTCGTTGCATGGACTGCGTCGGCAATGACGAAGCTCCGCCCTCCTCATTTTTATAGCTTAATAGGGATGGGAATCTCTTGCTTGCTGCTGTGGTGGCATTGGGAGTTGGGTTTGGTATAGAATGAACACTTTTGTCTTGGGTGGGGAGAGAAGGAACACAAGCAACGCATCTGTCACCTCTGTTGTGGAATTAGTATGCTTGAATCCTTCGTGAAATAGCTATATATTGTTCGTAAAGGTTGAGTCCAATTCAATCCAATGTAAATTTGGTGTGCGTCGATGGGATAATGATACAGATCTTAAGAGTAAAGTTGGTGATGGGGTTTGGCGTCCGGCTCCGAGACGGCGTATCGTTACGTTAGATCCCCTTAATACGACAAAGAGGAGGGCTGACATTAATTACGAACATGTCTCAAACGTGTCCCCTGCTCTGTCTAACTTTCTTATCTTATTTTAGATTCTCTTTAATGCAATGTCTCATACAATACATGTAATAATATTGACATATGCGTTACTTAAAAATTATGACAAATTATTCATACGAATTCGAATGAGTCGGATTTTTCATGGAGTGGATGAATAGGACGACACCAGAATAAATCATATTATGTTGACCTAAATTTCGTTATTTAGTTTCAATAAATCGAGGCCGGATGGCTGCAGAGCTTGGTCCTCCTATAGTGAAATCCTGGCCATTGATTTGAGATCATCGTGTCTCGATCAATTTGATCTGGTTGTGATAATGCAGAGCTTGATCATCCTATAGTGAAATCCTGCCCATTGATTTGAGATCATCCAGTCTTGATCAACTTTGATCTGGCTGTGATAATTACGCCACGTAACGTGACGGGGCACATTCAGTGGAGGCCGATGAACAGCGCGCCGAACGCCCAAAAATGGCAACCGTCACGTTGATGGCGACGCAAAAAGAATCCATCGGGCAAAAGCCCGTTCCGTCCGCACAAATCCCGGGGGCCCCACCACCCTTACCCTTGAAGTGCTAATCCCTACT